TTACATCTTCTGCAGGCTGGAAATGACATCAGGGCAAAACATCTCTTGCTTTGAAGAGAGCAACGAGAATGTAAAATACACTGAGAATTACTTTCAGAATTACTTTGTTCACATGTGAATTGCACATTTGGAAATCAAAGCTGCCTTTTTTTTCTTTTTCGTTCTTTTTTTTTTTCTTTTTTTTTTTTTTAATTTTTTTTTTCCCCCCAAAAAGTGGTACTGAGAATTATTTAACGACAGAAGAGAGAGAGAGAGAGAGAGAGGAAAAAAGAACCTCGGAATCATCCAAGAACGTTTTAGTCACAGTATCACTCAACACTACGGAGAAGTTTCATGGCTTTGTGAGAACACCACTGACCACGGGCGAGGAGCAGAGGGGGTTTTGCCCTCGTGTTGAGCCAGCGCTGACCCGAGCGACACCGTCGCTCCTGCCCACGGGCCCATCGTGCTCCCAGGGGCAGCGGCGGGCATGGCCCCGCTGCCCCTGCCCTGCCACACACACACACACACAATACAGCACGTAAAAACCGAGTGTAAGTCAGCAGATTGACCTGGGCGGAGGGGAAGGGAGGGGAGGGGGCTCACGATCCAGTGCTTTGATGCTTAGAGTCAAACGCCTTCATGTCATTGTGCAAGTGCTTTTCCGAAACGCTTCGCGCGACGGGGACGAGAAGCCGTTTCTGAGAACGTCTACCGAGCGTCTAAGTGCTGATTTGGGAGAAATCAAAAGCTTCCTCTACACTGTTTTTAAGCAGGACAGAACCCCGGCTGGGTGTTTGTCCCAGAACTGCAGCTGAGCAAACTTGGCTCGTGTTTGCTGTTCAGCCCTGCTCGGTTTGGGTTTGGGTTTGGGCAGCTCCCGTGGAGCCCTGCACATCCACATCCCTGGGATGTCCTGCGAGGCAGGATCTGGCTGGCATGGGACACCCTGGAAAGGCACCCACCCAGAGCAGCCTGTGCACCAAAGGGCACACCCTGTGGAAGAACTCAGTGCCTCAGCACATCCTGCAGGAGAACCCCTGTTCTCCACACCACCCACAGCGGTCACACTGGCACTGACCACCAGCTCCGAGCAGGCAGGCAGCAGGGAATGCACAGACACCAGACCCGTGTCCACCAGCTCCAGACCAGGCAGGAAGATCCACCTGTGGCCAAAGTGAGGGCCCTTTGTGGAGCGCTGACATTCCATCCCTGCCGACACGCCGCAGCCACATTCCCATCCCCGCCACCCTCACCTGCCCACACTGCACTGGGATCCTGGATCCCCAGCACGCCGTGTCCGTGGCACTGGACAGCCCTGGGCACCACAGCTCCACATCCCACCCAAGCTCCCAGACCTTCCCCACTGCTGGGAAGCCACCTGTGCTCTGATGGCAGAACGTCCTCAACACAAAACTCTTGGGAAATGGCCTTGAAAATACGGGATTCTTCTCTAAAGCAGCAAACCGAAACCTAAACACCTGCTGTGAACTGCAGCACAATTCAAGTGCAATCAAACAAAAGCTAGAGAGAGGTTCAGTGAGGCTTTCTGTTTCTTTATCTTTACCAGAAAAATCAAAACTTGTAATCGGTGCTAAATTAGAGGAGTTGGGAGATCCTACAACACACAGAGACATGAGCTAGAGAGAGTGGGGAGAAAACTGAATCAGGAAATATGAAAAGAAAAAAAAATCATTTCATGATTTTAAACCCTATATTTTAATGTCCTCAACCCCTGGCTGGATTGTACCTCCCCATCCCTGGCCAGCACCAGGAGCCCTCACTCCTGGGGATCTGTGGAGAGCCAGGATCATCCCTGGGACGGGGACAGCGACAGCATGAGCTCAGTCAGAGCAAGGACCTGACAAACTGCTTCTGGAGAAACCATGCAACAGGCAGCAGGGCTGAGATGTGGATGGGAAGACCATAAATACCCCAAATAAATCCCCACAATAACACTTGAATTTCTGGATACTTGGCCCACATTTTGGTGACCAGCTCACTGCCACTCCCTCGGCTGCTCCGTTCCCTCCCTGTGCTGCAGAGCACAATCTCAACCTCCTCAAAGGATGGACAGAATGTTGGATCTGAGCAT